TTTTAAGTAGGAGTACCCTCTACACATCTAAATGTCCAGTGGGAAGATGGGAATTCTAGACCATCCCAACGCCGGTGGGCCCAAAGGGGCCAAACGCATGTCTTCTTTGCTAGTTTCCCCGGGCAAATTCAAACTACACACATGAGCAGTGGGTATTTGGTTGATTTTTCTTAACCCCATATTGGACACACAGGTGTGGCTTGTTCAGGCTTATTGGTTTTCAGATCTTTATGTCTATAGGCATGGTTGATGGACATTTTGCTTTGGTGCCACTTTCGTGCCCATTTTCCGCCACCACGGGACACTGTCTAATCGTAGGTCACGTGGCGAGCCCCTTTGACGTGTTTTCTACATTAAAACACAAGGCATGCCCAAACGTAGCACGGAGGGATTCATGTGTCTCTATGTTGACACAATTTGGTTTCCAGTCCTTGTCCAACTTTCTCTGAGGTGCCCTTGGGGACTCACTGGCTTCATGGTTGGTTCAGCAGTCAGTACTAGAGAAACAAAACAACCTGTTATCTCCGGGAGAGGGCCATTTGCCACAACCATGGCTCGCAGTCCTTTTATGTCCAACAGAATTGGCCGAGCAATTACTAGCAGTTTATTCCTACATGATGACTAAGCTTTTTTTTCACACACCCCACAGCCCCGTTCGAATGATGGCGCCTGAGCTTTTTTTCCAACGACTTCGGGTGAACGTCTCAACTCCGGCCAAGGATCCGCCACCAAGCAGCTCGGTTCAGGAGGCCTCCGAGGCAAGTGGCTTCCCGTGACGTCGTTTGGTCGCCCGCGCGCGTTTGGACGCATCCACTCAGGAGATCCTAGATGGATTCTGTACAACGGGTTTGCACTAAGGGCAGGGGCGCATCTAGGGTCAGCCAATCTACCAGACAGAAATGCAGCGTCGTTGAGATGCGTATTTCAGGCATGTTGAGCATGGTTGTCGAAGTGCTCGATTCATTGTGAAGTGACAGTGATTCCGAACCTGGGTTGCAGGCCGAGGAACCAGGCCCTGGGACCCCTTGAAAAGGGGAACAACCAGGACTTGCCCAAAGCCGACCTGTTAACCTTTAGGCTTTCCAATGTTGGTCTTTGTTGAGGTAAAGCTTCCGGAACATAAACTACTGATTTCTAGGTCCTTTGGGCAAATGAGCCCTAATTTGATATCACAAGAAGCTGCCGTTCTTTGACATAAAGCTGGGGTAGCGTTTGAAGAAATGGAAGACATTTAGACCATGTGGCTGTTGTGTTTGCCCTGTTGGTCCTTTTTCAGTGTTATTTTCAAGAAGCCTCGGCACTATTGGTTGCCTTCCCACGGATCCACAGCCGCACGCCAGCCAATGTCTCCCAGGTTCTTCGATCGTTGGGTGCCTTTGAGTCAGACTCCGAGGACCGCTGATTCTTTGGGACCCAGGCGCGCCAAAATCAATGATCTGATCGGAAGAATAGTTTCGTCCTAGAACCTTCACGGGGCCCGATATATAGGTGGCAAACAACCTGCGGGGCTCTTGATCAAAACAAAGCGGTGAAACCGATCCGTGAATCCTTCTTCTCGACGGACCAAAACGAAACAAACACAACATGCACCCACTGGGCATTTGAGCAAATGTCCCCACAATGATTGACAACAAACACGGAAGGTGAAGTCATGCAAACTCAATATGAGCGTTGCTTCCATTGCCCACTTTGAAAATTCCTTCTTGCTGGGGGTGTCGGTTTTGAGTGTATTTCTTTTGGGGTTGCTCAAAGGCTCAAAGGGAAAGCAACGCGCGGACAAATTCGCCATGGGAAATTGGTTTCGCCCAACCGCTCCACCCCCACAGCCCTGAAAAAGAACAAATCATTATTGTACCTTAAACGGGGTATGGCATTTGGGGTGATGAATCGTTATTGGCCTTGAGATACGCAAGTGTAATGTTGTCCGGAACATGCCTCGCGCTCTCTGGCTGTAGCAGATCGATATTGTTGATTGCCTATAGCCTATGTAGTGCGTCATTTGGTAGACTGTGGTCTGATTTCCGAATGGACGAACCCATGCAAAGCTTATGTGTGTGTGTGTGTGTTTGTGTGTGTGTTTGAGTTTGGCAGCTTACCCCGGAAGCGGGAACGTATTCATACTAGCCAGCCATGAAGTCTGAACCATCTTGAACCTGGGCTTGTGTGACATTCGACAACTTCAGAAGGGCGCGGATGTGGTTCTGGTGTCCTTTTCAGGGCCCGAAAAGGATCTCAACAACTGGTGGATTGGAGAGGCTGCCAGATCAGCCTGCATCAAGGCATCTAGAGGCGAGCTCTGGGCTTTGCCATTTCTGTTTCGATGTTTTTGTATGGAAAACACGTAGCCCGCCCACGAGCAAAGCTGCCTACACGGGAGGATTGGCAAGGACACCCAGGATACGTGTTCAATATTATTTAGTAGGGTTCAAGTTCCGTTGTAGAACTCGCTACCCCAAAGCTGCAAACACGATTTTGCAGATGGGATTCGGACTCCTCAACAACTGAAACACTTCGTAAGAATCCCGCTTGGAATCGGGTGACCTTGGCCAGCCACATTGTGGTATAGACCGCGAGCACTGCTGATAACAACAAATCGCAGCGCATGAGGGAAGCAATTCCACCAGATGGCGATCCTCAACTTTCAAAGCGATAAGACAAATTTCCGGCCTTTGAAAGCTCTCGGGGCAGTTGCTGGTCAAGCAGCATCTCTTTGTGGCAAGCCGGCACTACCATTCATGACGAGTATGTTCCCAAGTCGATGCACAAACGGATACAAAGGGTATGAAGGGGATTTGAGGGAACGGTTTCCTACATGCAACACGTTCATCACTTCTTGTGGGCCCAAAAGCAACCCCATTTGTCAGGTTCAAATGGAAACAAAGCGCAAGCCAACGTTTTGAGGGGTTCCACAGAAACCCCCAGTGCAGTCTACACGGGTTCGTCGATTTGTGTTCCAGCGCAAGGAGCTCTCGCGGCATGGCGGTGCCATGGCCAGGCACGGGAAGGGCACTGAGCTTTGCCCGGTAAAGAGAAAGGTGGCTTTGATGGCATATGGCTGTGGGCCAAAAATAGGTGCCCAAAAGGGAACCCTGGTAAGTGGAAACATGGACTAAAACCTGCGCTGGTGGTTTAATTTTGACCCATATCCATTTCCTTTTGGCAAGGATCGTTTCGAATATAGCGAAGGTCCCGTCTGGTCCAGACCGGATGTCCTTTGCATTTTCCAGGCTTTCTGAAATGCTGCGAACACCTGGGACGTCCGAGTGGCTGAAAGTGGACCATGGTACACCTGGGACCTGAGTGTTTGAGCTCCTCAATTCCGCACGTTTGGCGCCCGCCTCTAGCATCCAATCATTGCATGTTTGGGAGTGAGAGAACTTGCTTGCGCCTGGCCTTGAGCTTGTGCACCATGCTAATTCCGTGTTGGATTCTTGGTCTTGCTTTTTGTTAAAGCAAGGGAATCTTCTAAATGGGTTGTGTCTGTTTGAGAGTACCCTGTCCAGGTTGCTTCAAAGGGAAACCGAAAAACCATTGTGGCGGTCCCTATTTTGACAAACACCCAAATTTCCTTGAGTCTTTGTTGGTTTTCCTGAAAGCCACGCAACAAAACATGCAACAACGACACAACTGCAACGGCCTGGCACGCCAAAGTGAGTTCAAGCCTTCTTCCTCAAGCAATCCATGAGGAGGTCCCAAATTTGAAGAAACGACCACGTGAGTGAACAATCTTTTGGTTGTTTGATATGGCCATGTTTTGAGACGGGTGTTATTTCAAGAGCCATCTGCGCCAGCAGAGTGATCTTCCTCAAGCTCAAGCAACAGTAGGCTTCCTTTCAAACTTCAGCAAAATGGCTGCCTCTTTTTCCGTGGGCCAAGAAACCAGCCATTTAGCTAAGGATCTAGCAAAAGAAGCCTGGCGGATTGATCGGTTCTTCCTTCCCCAAAAGCTTTTTCCACATGCCTTCCAGAATTAGGCACCCCTATAGAATCACCTCACAAATGACAAATGTCATGACGCGAGCACCTGGTTCCCTTTCTCGAATCCAAGCACTCAACCAGAGCTTGGGTTGCTCATTGCATCGGTGGGTTACCTGGCAGAAAGCAGCGGCACAAGCGGCAGCCATCCTTTTCGTTTCTCATGGAAGACTACTGCGCAAATACACTGGGGCGTCTAACCTCTTTTCAACAAGAATGGAAGTGGGCAGGCTGGTCAGCTAAACGAAAAGTGATCTTCCCATACCGTCCTGTGGGCTTTCATGATTGTTGGAGGGATGACTTTTTTTGAGCCTATCAGTTCAGTTGGCAAGCGCGACGTAGAGCTCTTCTGGAGACCAGTATAATTTTCCAGAGCACCTGTTGACACTCTACCCCTGATAAATCAGGAACTATTCCTGCGAAACCAGGAGCTGTTGAAGAAATCCCCTTACAACAAATCCCTGATAGACAATACGTAAACCTCTAGGGATGCGCAGTTCTTTGGGATCCCTTTCTGAACTCGTGCAAACATTATACGGACGTTCCGCTGCCAGTAGTGGGTGTCGCATTTAGAAGGAAATCCCTCACTTTTTGAGCAAGCACCTCCTGATTCATCCACCAGGTATGAGTTTGACGCACGGCGTCCGTTTCTGTTGCGACTTGACACTGTCGGAGAGGGCAAGGAAGCACGGCAGTTGGCCTGCAAACAGGGAAGACACCCTGCATGGGACCGCTGTGCCACGAGCTTGTGTGAAGAAGGCGGATGAAGCAGCAGCAAGCCACACCTGTTCAAACATCGGAATGGAAACCACTGGCTGGGTGTTCCCCATTTGAGACTCCGGATATTCCAGAGATTTCACGGGCCAAGGGTTTCGCATTGCGCAAGGCTCCCGCTGCATCCGCGCTTGGCACACATGGCACTTCGTGCGGTCAAGGCGCCACAGGCATGCCCGGCGGGGGCTAAGAGCTTAAGGCAAACTGGTTCCCTGTTTCAAAGCTCTTTGGATTCAGCCTCCCCGTTTTTTAGAAACCTCGCCTCATTTCTTGGGTGGTGATGTTGAAAGGGGATATTCCGATTGAACCCTGTGCTTGCGAAGGACACACTTGAGCCCAGTTTGCGCTAGAGCACCAAGGACACGCATGTTGTTTGTTAAGGCTCCATTCTCAAAGGCTGGGTTTTGCACACCTCTCCCCAGAATGCAACACATTGTCAACATATCTATTGGTGGTTTGCGGATTTGAACGCACTTGTTCTTTTTCCGAACATACTTTGGATTTTGAGGCTGATCCCTTGCCCCTAATAACACTTTCCCCCTTTCTTGGTTTTACATATGATGTTCTGAATCTGAAGCAGATTCAGAACATCTTTACTGAAGAGTTGAGTCAAGCTTACTCACTTCTTTGCACGCGTCCTGGCCGCGGCCGGCCGCCCACGGGCCTGCCCAGGCGGATGCTGGGGGTTTCGGCATCGCGCAACTCTGTGCCCTCCTGGAAGAGGTCGGGGTCCAGTCGTATGATGTTTGATTTGACCCAGGCCGCATTCGGACAATCCACAGAATGAGGCTCAGGAAATGATGATATGTGAGCTCCATGATCCGCAGGGGGTTGTTTTGACAAACCTTTTTGAGCTTGTTCCTCATGGTTTTCTGAAGCAGATCCAATCGCCGAGGGCAGCGTTTTGTCTCAGTCAACTTATCCTCAGTCTGTGGAGGCTACTCTACCGCAGACGATTAATTACATGGAACCCAGACTTACTTGAGCCTACAGGACTTGAATGACCGGTTGTTGAGATGTTTTTTTCTAGCTTAGACAAACGCGGACATTGACGAGGGATTCGGCCCTTTGGGCTGTTCTTCATTTCGGAGATCCTGAGGCCACCCCCAGGTACTTGGAAGGGTATGTACCTGTTCCAACTTGTCTTTCCCTGCTTCCATCAGTTGCCCCCTATCTTCCAAGGCTGGCAAAATGCATGACACCCGCATGTAAAATCAGGAAAAATCCAGACTGGTCACAGTCATATGCAACTCGCCTTTCGGTTCCCAAATCGTGTGGGATGCTTTTCTTCACCTTGAAACATGCACCTCAGCACCGTTTTTCGGGAACCACTCGCTTCACGCCCTGAGGATCAAGATGTGGTGCAGGCCGGAGCGACAGCATTCGGGCTTCCCATGAGCAAATGCTCAGCTGGTTTTCTGATGCGACACCGCAAGACTTCAATCTAAGTTGAAGTCGTAATTACTTGCTCATGCTTTGACTTTTCCCTAGGCACCCCCTATGAGCATGACCGTGTTTGCCCTCGTTGATCCCAGAACCAATGTGGATAAATTTGGGAGGGGTGTTTCCCCAGGTGGATTTGCCTCCAGGTACCCTTCTGTACCCTCAGGCTGATGTGCTTGTTCAGCTGTCCAGGTGAAGCGCAGCTGCGCAGACGTGACGGCGAGGCAGGACGTGCCCACGGCATTCTTCCATTTCACCCCTGCAAGTTAAGATTGAACCAACCAAAAAACATCAGTTGAACAGAAAACTCATTTTGCGGGGGCTGCGTTTGGGGGTGCCATGCTAACTTGCAGGGGTGCATGCAAGGGGGGGGTAGTTGCTTTAGAGGGTACCGTTTTTCGGGTTGTGGCAAAGGGACACCAAAAGAAGGCCAACCATTCTTGGGCCGACACACTCAGATTCGCGCCTTGGTCAAAGGGGGAGGAATGGAATCTTAATGTGGAAATTGAACCAACAATGATGAGGACTCCCATCAAGGGAGCCATGTCTGTGGTCCACATCAGTCTTGACTATATGTGGGCAAGGTTGTGGATGGGTGCTCCCTCTGAAGACTCTCAGGCATGATAGGTGAATTTGGGTACGCCTTAAACGCACAGCTCAGAGCCCACCCACAAAGATGGGGGTTGATTGAAGGCTTCGGATGCCTATGGACAGACGGAGCCGCCTTGCCGGGCAGGTGCTGGTGTGAAGTTGACACCGACTTAGGAATTTACTTTGATTCGTGGTCTGCTGCCTTGGTCTGAATCTGCTATGCCTCCCTTGGTCGGCCAGAAGTTAAAGCATGAATCAACCCCATTTGACAGGTGGGGAAGACAGGGTACACCCGTTTTTATGTTTGACCCAACGCTCACACACACACAAACATTTATGTTTGACCCAAAAGGGGCCTCCGCGGCCAAGCCGTAATCTATATATATATATGTATATATACAGTCTGTGAATCAGAATTCGTTGCTTTTTAATTTACAAGCAGACAAAGCATGCAAAAGTGGGTAGGCCAAAACCCCGCTGCTCATGACATCTCTTTCTGTAGAATTTACTGAGACCAACTGAGACGTTGCTGCCAGGCTGCTGGCCCTACAAGGCAGAGCAGATCCTCGCCCTGCCCCCAGCACGCTCGGAAAGGTTTCCGCGAAAGGCGCTCAAGGAAGCCCAGACACCGAGTGGGGCCTTTTTTGCTCCTTGTTTGGTGGTTCCCTTTGCCAAATACCATGCAAAGAAATTCCCTTTGCCTGCAAATGACCACTGTGGTGTCACAAGATTCAAAGGTCTGTGTTACACGAGAAGCCCCAGAGGCTGGCCCAGAGGTTCTCCTGGAAACCCAACCCTTTGAAAGCTACATTTGTGCTTGTTTGTCAGCCATTGGGCAGAACCTATGTACTGGAGACTTACAGATCGGAGACTTACAAAATGGAGACCTTGCAGTCTGAAACCGGTGTGAGCTGGACCACTATGTTGCAAGCTCTCCGGTATCTTCTATTCGGCCGGCTTGGGCCGAGCAGGACTCTGGACAACACATATACACTCGGACAATTCTCGGGCATGCGCACGGCAGCTGCGGTGCGGCATGCTGTTCGGTCTCTGCCTACCTACAAATCGGCCGGCTCAAGTCGTTGACAACTTTCACCAACCGACGAGATGTAAAATGCCGAAGGGCTTCATGAGCATTTCGTAGCTCACTAGCCGTAACCAAAAGCGCAGTGCCTGTGAGCGGAAACGAGACCCCGCAAGCTCCCAGGCTAATTCCCTTGACCACGCTAAAGGTAACCAAAAAGTGCGCAAGGCAAGTCTGCAACGCACCTTTCAAAAAGCTGATGTGCCCTGCCACAGTGCTTGACACGTGTGACACTTGAGGCGCTTCGCTGCTCAAAACCCATCGCGTTCCGTTGTGGTCCGCAATGGGATGTGGGAGTTCAGCAACTTGATTGGCATGCAAAAGAAAGACAAGCTCAAGCCATGAAACTTCAAGGCAATCAACCCCATCTCGCAAATGACGCTGCTGCCATGCCAGAAACTTGCATAAAAAGGGTGTGCACCACAACTTCAGAGCCAGTGTGGTATCCAGCTGCACTGCCCAGTCATCTGGAAGCTGACTAATCCAAGGTTCCTGCTGACTAATCCGAAGGGCAACATCTGGCATCTCATCTTCTGTATTGTCTGCATCCATCCAGTCAACCTGCCGCAAGATTTGATTTGCTTCTGCAATGCCCAGCTGCAGGCGACGTATGTCGTCCACATCCTGCAATGTCTGCTCCTCATGTGCTTTGTACAACGCCCAAAGCTGCCAGAACCCTGCGGTGTGCCTTTGGCGACCGATTGCGGCTGCTGCATCTGCTTGTGCATTCCAGTATGCAACCCAGTTATCAACTTCAGCTCTTTCCTCTGACATCTGCTGGTGCGCCGAGATATGTACCACCTGAAAGCGTCCTGCACAAACTGCAAGGTGGTCCCGAACTTCTAGCCACAGATCCTGATGCGTGGGTGGAAGCTCACTCTGTGGTGAGGCTGTCAGTCTCCAAAAATGGGTGGCTACATAGGACGAGTCCGTCCATAGCACTGTCCGGTGAGTTCGCGGTATACTCCATGCCAACGCCTGAACAGCAGCTGTAAGCTCCGCCCTTGCAATGCACTGCTCCCAACCTCCAAGCGGCCCGGCTGCTAATTGTGCTCCATGAGTTGCTGAGACCACACTCCAACCTGCCAAGGATAGCGATGGGTAAGTTGGGCTGGTGCAACTGCCATCCGAAAACAGGTCGACTGTATTATGACACTCCGGCAGGGTCTCAATATACGTCTCGGGCGCTGCGACTGCACAAAAAGCCCGCCGTACTTCCCCAGCCCACGGGTTCCTGGGCGCCAATAGATGATGCGTTAGGCACGTGGGGAGACTCCGCCACCGCTGTACCGCCTCTCCATGTTGTTGGCGTACTCGCTGAAAGCCTGGACAATGGAGGCATCTGTGCTCCAGAGAGTCCTGCTGGCCACAAATGTGACAGCTGCCATCCTGTTGCACATCGTAATGCTTGTAGTGCCTGGCTGTCACAAAAGCTCCTTCCCGCAAGGCCGTTATCTGCGCACGTTGTAAGGGTAGAAGTCGTCCCTCTTGATGCTGGGAGGCTGGTACGTTGACGCCCTGCAAGTCTTCGTACGATGACCGCGCTTGCATGCGTGCAGCAACATGCTGATACCAAGCGTCCAGAGTGCGCCGCCATATAGTGGATGTGGATTCATCTATGAAATCAAATTGCAGACCATCGTGATCAAGACAATACGGCGGTTGTATCACATACCATCCTAGCTGCTGAAACTGTTGCATAAGAATCGAGCAAGGTCCGGCATGTAGTGTACCGTCAAAGTCCTCATGAAACTGATTCCAAAATTGCACCAACATCGGCTGCTTGCTGGCCAGTCGCCTAAAATCTCTGAAGACGCTCCACAATCTGTACAAGCCAGGATCGAGCAACGGTTGATGTCCCAGACTCAGGCGAATGATCGGGCTTGCGCCGGCTTTGCCATGTCCCAGAGCACGTGTTACTTGGGTACGAAGTTTGCTCAGCTGGGTTTCCGTGACATGAAGGATGCCCGACGCATGAAAAGCCTTGGGCCAGATGGCCTGCTTGATCAGGAGTTCCTTCTGGGCTTCGCTGCACGCAATCCTGCGCAATGTAGTCCACAATGGCTGAAGCTTGTCCAGCATTCTATCCATTGCTTGTGGACTAGGCCTGGCCTGATAGGTCATAGAGCCTCCAAGGTCACGCTCCTGGTGAGCAACCCGATGGTGCAGCCGTTTTAGCAAGAGCCGATCGTGACTGCCTGTGGCCCACGTGTACGTTTTGCCTGGATCAGTTTCCAACTGTATGAGCTCCAAAAAGGTGGATTGAACCAGAATTCCATGCGCCAAATGTGCAACCTGCCGAGCAAGGAGCTCATAGTTGTCAACGAACGACATGGACAACACCTGAGGGGCGTACTGTCGCATGTAGATTGCATGGCAGTGGTTGATCATAAGCATGCCGATGCAGGAAAGGGCGCAGCCCTCTGGTAGGCCACACGTGGATTGCAGGGGCCTGCTGACAACCTTACGGACCACGAAGTAGCGGTCAGCCTGCTGAAGAAAGTTCCCCCACGTCTTCACAAGAGTCTCCGGAAAACCCAACTGTCTTGCTAATGCCATGACTGGTGATCTGGGCAGATTGTTGAAGGCGCGACGGATGTCCGTGACAAAGCCCTGGAGCGGAGATTTGGTGTAAATGGCATGCTCGATTGCAGCTTGTGTAAGTTGCCAAACTTCACCAGCCTCCTTCTTGGGCATGAACCCAATGATAGAGCTGTGCAAAACTGGCGCAAGCTGACCCAGAATTTGCCCAGCTCTCAATGAGCTCCACGCTCTGTATACCATGCTGTGGATGATGACAGGACGATAATTTGCCACTGCGCATGAATCATCCTGTTTGGCTAGTCCATGTACCATGCCAGCTGAAAGTTGGGTTGGCCACTCCGACGTGTTCTCAATCTTGTTGAGCAGATCCACAAGCTGCTGTTGGTAGCCATAGGGCATGTGCTGAAGGTCCTTGGAATCGAATCCATCTGGTCCTCGCGCCGAGCGAGAATTGAATTTGGATACTGCATGCTCCCAAGCGGAGAGATCAATGGACGGCAGTTGAATCGTAGCTGGCGTAATGTAGGCCCTGATAAAACCCACAATGCGCTCCCAGGCTTCTGGGGGCGTGTCTGCATGTTGTCTCCATCGCGCCGTCCAGTACTGGAGAAGTTCATCATGTATGTCGTTGACCTCGGACAGGAGCTTCCGACCTTCTACGATCTGACCTGGAACCAAAAGAAGGTCCGTGTCGATTTCCAGCAGCTGTGTGTCGCGAGGTTTGACTTGGGCAGGTGTTCCATCGACCGTCCATGTGGTGAGTCCTCTGTCGGAAATCGGCCTGTCAACATGTGCTAGGCAACCATCTGAGGAGACGTCGACAATGGTCGCTGTGGCGATGGATTGAAGGGTGTCAATGCCAGGACGCGTCTTGTCTTGAAGCTGTTTGAACAGTCGTCTTTTGTCCTCCGCAAGCGAGGCTTGTAGTAGCCGATGCCGTTGTCGATTGTGCCAGGCCTCATATTGACGAAAATTGGCAGTGAAGTCCTGAAGGATGTGGACCACTGCTTGATGCGATGGAAGAACCAGTGCAATCTCTGTGGGAGAGCTTTGCAGCTTGACTGGGCGTCCAGGCCACCACATCACAAAGTCCTTCTGAAAGCCCTTGGCTCGTCGTATAGCGCCCCAGACTTCGACGCGATACAGCAGTGAATTGTCACTCGGTTGCTCCTGCCGCAAATTGTGTTCAAGGCTTTGTAGACGTCGTAGCTGCGTGAACCAGCGTACTATCTCCCTGCACGTGAACTCATTGGTGAGCTGGGCTTCCCCCTTACGACTGGGCTTGGCCAAGGGGAATTGAACGCCCCGAAGCTCAGGATGTTGCCGTTGCGCACGTCCCTTGCAGCCTGTTGGCACTGATGTCATGGTGCTGTCCAAGAAGGGCCCAATGGACTGTTCATAACGTCGCCCAAAACTGGCGTACTCATCAGCGATTGTAGCATGGTGAGATTCTCCCGAATCTGGCGCATGGTGCTTCCAGGTCCCTGTATCGAGGTGGTCCCATGGAATACGAGCCGGCAATGGCCAGTGCAATTCATGCGCATGCTTGCAAGGTATCCTGAAATCAGCATACAGCGCCGCATGCCCTGCCCCCGACTGTTGAAGACCCACGTGTTGAAGGTGTTGGGCGAGTTCCGGACTGACAAAGATCATGTCAATGCGCGAGATGTTTCCATAGGTTGGCTGAACCTTTTGCTGGTACACGCGCTGGGCAATGTCCTGTATCTCTTGCCATCCATTTTGGCGCCAAACCGCCAGTTCAGGAAATTCCTCCTCCGTGCCGTTGAAGTCTCCAGCGACAAACCGGGGTCCTTGATGGCCTTTGATCAGAGTCTCGGAGAGCTGCTGCAAAAGCCGATTTGTCCATTTCCTGCTATTCGGCCACGTAGCCGATGATGGCCATCCATACAGGTTTGCACCTGTGATTCCCCCGGTTTCTG